TGATGACATGTACCAAATATGGGTGAAATCGGTTCACAACCACGCCTGAAATCTCGATTATCACTTTATCATGCGAGAGTATAAAATTTTCGGTGACACCCGAACTTAGCCCTTCCTTACTTGTTGTTGAATGAGTTATAAACAATTTTATGGCTTCTGAAGTGAGGATAATCCAGAAGCAAGTCTGTCATTTGAGTGTCTGAATTAAAAACAACGAAACAATCAATTTCCTGGAGGAAACTTTTGGTAAGTGCATTCTCTGACGTCATGTGCCTTTAACGTGCCCTATTTTTTGTGGGATTATGTGAACTATAGTCTATGCAAATGAATCCAAGACAATTGACGCCTTGGAAGAGAATATTCGCCGTGTTTTTGCTGACAAATGGACCCAATTTCTCCAAACGTGGTAGAAAAGTGGGGCTTTTTCTCGAAATCATTTTTTTAACGTAACGGAGAACGCTCATCTTTATAATAACGTTAAATTCTTTGTAAAAGGCCCTAAATAAGTTTAGACTGGTTTGCGAGTATTAAAATATTAATGAATGCATGGCACCTTTTTCGACAAATTTCAGTCACAGCCATAACACTTTCCCGATTCTTTTCCGTTACTACTCGGGGAACACAGTCAAATAGTGCTGGACCATGAAATTCAAAATATTTTTTCAAATGATTATACGGAATATCTCTAGTCCGTAATTGGTAATTGTTAAAATAATGCCATTATTCGAATTTATCATACTAAAATTATTAGAGCAGTTAAAAAAAATTTGAGATTTCTTATTTCTATAACTTTTTGTATCCCCACAGTAATTTTTTTTAATTTACGTAGAGAACTGATTCACTAAAAGTCGACTAGCTCTAACATAAATATATATTTGTTTGGTTATGGTAAGCTACAGTTTGTTGTTGCTTGTTTGCCACTCTACGTGACGAGCAAACACGCGTGTACTCCCTTTTTCAGGTCCAGAAAAACTTTGCCAAACCACAACAATGACAACGAATTGCTGTG